TCTCTCTCTCTCTCTCTCTGTGTGTGTGTGTGTGTGTGTGTGTGTGTGTGTGTGTGTGTGTGTGTGCCCCTTCCCAGTAGATCACTTTCTAGGATAGCAAGGACCTCATCTTGCCTGATTACCTTTCCACCACCTTGAGCTACAATGGTGCCCCGGTCCTTTGGGTTGTCACAGAGTGCCAGGAACACCCTGCAGAGCCAATGATAAGGGAAAATGAATAGTCACTATTCCTGTACAGCATTCCCAGGAATCACACACAGCCGGTCAGAACCAGAAACCCCCAGCACAACAGTGGAAGCCCAGAGGGGCAGACCGTGTGACCTTAACTGGAATGAGCCACCTTTAAAGACACTCACTACCATGCACATCAGTGGTGGGGGAGGAAATAAGACCAAGTAAGGCTTCCAAGGGCCGTCCCATTCCTATTTCTGGAGACAGCCAACAGCCCCGTGCCACCCCAATCCGGGAGAAACTCTCCCTGTCTATTCCCGTCGTCAGGCCCTGGCCCCGTGTAATATCACCACCACCCAGACACACTGCAGGAGAAACCAAACTCTACTCTATCCCTCCATCCTTGCTGCCTTTCACATGCTGTGCCCTCTTTCCTGGAGCCCTTCCCTTCCCTGCAGTTGGCTGGCTCCTTTTATTCCTTCAGGACTCTGTTGAACTATCACCTCTTCCAGGAGGCCTTCCTAGATGTCTACCCACGTACCTTCTAACTGGGTGAACTCCAACCAGACCTCTGTGCTTCCCTGTCACGGCATTTACCTACTGTGCTGTCACTGAGACCTGCCTGCCTCCTCTCTAGGTAACCCTTTCGTCTCTAAGGAAAAGGTCACTAAAAGGGGTGGCGATCACCTCCTGATGCATGTTCTCAACTGTGGTGACCTGCCTTATCACTTCTTTTCTCCTTGTTCTCCAAGACCTCACTTAGTCTCTGCCATTCTAGTCCTCCATCTAGCCTCCCACCTTCCAGTCTCCCCAGCCCACCCTCGTGGTACCTGGCCAGCAGCTCCTTGGTCTGGTCTGTGAGGATAGCACTGTCCGCCTTCACCATGCAGGCCAGTGCAGATATGACCCCTGCCTTCAGGAGCCGCTTCACCCGCATGTCTACGAAGTCCTTCTTGTCCTAGAAGGGACGAAAGGATGGGTGTGGGGAAGGGGCCGGTTGTCAGCCAGCCCCAGGTTGAGTCATTGTGACAGATCATTGTGGGGGGGGGTAAGACAGGAGGAGAGCATGGTGCACAATCTCTGGAAATGTGCTTAAACCTCACACCCAGCCATGGGGCATATATGCGTGCTGCATCCCTGCCTGGATGAAACACAACCCAGTGGTAAGAGCGGTGGAGGACTGCAGCTCAGCGGGAGAGCATCTGCCTAGCACCCATGAGGCACTGAACCCATGCATCACAAAGAAATGGGTCAGTTGAGAGAATGAGATGGCATCAGGAGTGTGCTCCTAATGTCTGCCATGAAGGCAACGCTCACATTCTGATTGTAACTATAGAGGAGAGAAAGGAAAACTTTCTGTGGGCAACACAGGAACTGCCAGCAGTGGTTCTGTGGAAATGGCATCACTTCGGGTCTAGGTTCTTCTTTACTGTCCACCATCCCATTTTGCAACACAGGTATGACTGTTATCATTTCTAAAGTCCAAATGCTCTCACCAGCTGGTAGGATTTTTCCATATTCATTTGTATGCAAGTGGCATACAAATATATCCTTGTGAAGAGGTAATCACCATGCATACCCTTGTGTTAGGGGTTTTTACATTTGCGTATTAAAAACCTGTGTTTCTCCTCAGCATGCACATCCCCCTAAGTCCAGATATCCCAGAAAATCACATTTTTATGACTTGGAATCAGCAACCAATGTTGCAAAATGTTCATCTGGCTCTGTTTAATCAGATTACAAAATCGTCAGCTACCTCATTGCGCGTGTGCGAACACACACACACACACACACACACACACACACACACACACACACACACACGCAATCAGAAAATTAAGACAGGAATCATGAGTGCCACCTAGTGGGCAAAATCTACTACTGTCATTGTCAAACCGCGCAACTCATTCCACACCATGTTCCTGGAGGTCTGACAACACAGCTCCTCCCTCAGCTGCCATGTACCCACCTTGGGGTGCTCCTCTGGCACATGTTGCTTAGAGAACTTGGCCAGCTGCACCAGCTCAGGGACGACCTCCTTGACATCGTAGCTGTTGGTGCAGTTTACCAGAGTGTTGGCCACTGAGTACAGAATGGTCTTGTCACTCGTCTGGAGTCCCCCAGGTTAGGAAAAAAAAAAAAAAAACACAAAGGAGTCATTTTAGTGGTAGATGAGTGGAATCCTCTGGGGTGATCCTAGCGGACCCACACACACACACACACACACACTTCCAGAAGAATCCTGGGTTTCCTCATGATCTCACTGCCAAAGGGTCACAGGCAGACATGTCCTGACACCTGAACAGGACAGAGTCATGAGTCCACCTCAACCAGGCAAGATGAGGGCCATCCAGTGAAACAGTAAATATAGCTTCACTTCACGGAGGTGGGGGGGGGAATAGAGCCAGGATGAGCCCACAGCCAGCTGAGCCCTGAGGACCAAGGCCAGGCACCCTTTCCTGAGGTTGGAGATCAGGACCACTCTTGCCTTGGCCAGCTCAAACATGGCCTGCAGAGCAGGGATGTCCTGGACAAAGTCGTCCTTCACATCAGCATCCAGTGTGAGGTAGGCCAGGCCCTCCACTGCCCAGCGTCGTGTCCGAGTGTCTATGGCAGTGTTGCACAGCCACCTAGATGTGGAGGAGTGGAGAAACCGCTGGAGAAGGAGCCAGGGCTCTGGACAAGAGTGATCCGGGTTTGGAATAGCAGGTGGCCAGTGAAGGGGGCTTTTCTCACCCAGCATCACTGAAGAATACCCCAGAAACCATCCCCCATCCAGACCCATGAGGAAGCAGAGGATCAGCCTCTTACTTTCGACACTGCTTGGCCAGCTTCTCCGTTGACCCTTCAGCGAACTGTCTGAGACCATAGTCTGAGCCCCCAGCTGAGCCAAGTTTACAGAGGCCCTGTGGGGAAGAGGAATGGAAGGGTCAGAGACACTGAGGCCTGAGTCAGGCGCTGTAGTTCTGTGATCAACACTATCCCCTTTTCTCTGCCTGGATATACCTCTGTGCCCCTCCACCTCTTCTGAGATGCCCTACCCAATGCCCTATGTTAGGGAGGATGCTCACCATTTTCAGCTCATATATGTTTTGAAAACTCTGCACACATACTAAATACCTGCAGTCACTGTGAGAAACCTTGAGATGACAGGAGATGGCAAAGAAGTCATATCATGTGGGCAGCAAATTCAGACATACGAAGTCTAACACAGGGGAAAAAAGCAGACCCTTCTGAGGAAAAGAACAATGTCTTCTGGAGCAGAAAGGCCATCATGCCCATGACAAAAAAAGGTTTCTAAACAATTGACATGAGGGCATGTCATGGTGGCATACACCTTTAATCTAGCACACAGGGGTCAGAGCATATGGATCTTTGTGAGTTAGAGGCCAGCTTCGTCTGCATATTGAATTCCAGGCCAGCCAAGGCTACACAGTGAGACCCTGTGTCAAACAAACAAACAAAAAATTGACGACATGAGGGGCTACTTCAGTGAAGCATGCAAGCATGAGGACCCGGGTTCAGATCCCCAGAGTGCATGTAAAGCTGGACACAGCACAGAGCACAGGTCTATATGCTAAGTACTAAGTGCTCCTTTAGGGAGGTGGGAGGCAGAATGGGAGAATCTCAAGAAGCATATGGGCAGTTAGCCTGACTGCAATGGCAAACAACTACAGACCCTGTTTCAAACAAGGGGGAAAAAGCAAGGATAACACCCAGAGTAGCCACTGATCTCCACACATGTGCCATGGCAGCATCTACATGTGTGGAGAGAGAGAGAGATAGAGAGAGAGATAGAGAGAGAGAGAGAGAGAGAGAGAGAGAGAGAGAGAGAATAGAGACAGAGAGAGAGACAGACAGAGAGAGAGAGATTTAAAAATTATATGACCCAGGAGTAGTGGTATAGGCCTATAATCCCAGCTCATAGGGAGCAGGAAAATCATGAGTCGAAGGCCAGACTGGCCTATAACAGTATATTTGAGGCCAGCCTGGGATCCATAGCAAGACTAGATAAATAAATAAATAAGACTAAAAAGTCTGGAGCTAGAGCCTGTAACTCCAGTACTTGAGAGGCTGAGGTAGGAGGACTGCAAGTTTAAGGTTGACTTGGGACACATTACCACAATAAGCTAGGGGGAAAAAAAAAGGCTAGAGAGTTGGCTCAGTGGTTAAGAGCACTTGACTCCTCTTCCAGAGGTCCTGAGTCCAATTCCCAGCAACCTTATGATGGCTCACAACCATCCATAGTGGGATCAGATTCCTTCTTCTGGTGTGCATGAAGGCAAAGCACTAATATACATGAATAGATAAATCTTTAAAAAAAAAAAAAAAAAACGTGAGTTAAGATCCAGGCAAATGAATCAAATCTTCCCAGTAATTTTTTATGAAGAAAAAAAAGGAGGTGAAAACAATTCAGTAAGGTGAAAACAGTAAAAACAGAAAGCCTGATTCTGCTGAATGCAGCTGGTTAAGGAAATGAATTTGTTGGCGTCTGCTCTGAAAATACTTCCTGGACCACATCCATGTCTGTCTCTTCACGGTGCAGAGGGTAATTTCCTAGTGCTAAACTCAGGGTCATCCTCCTGACTCTCTCTTCCCACAACCCTGCCTTTCACTCTGCCTGCAGGAGCACATGGATGAGCCAGAGGGGTCCCTAGTATGTGACCCCTTGTCCTGGCTGGTTTTCTGTCAGCTTCACATAGGCTAGAGTCATCAGAGAGGAAGGAGCCTCAATTGAGAAACTCCTCCACAAAATCCAATTGTAAGGCATTTTCTTAATTAGTGATCAATGGGGGAGGGCCCAGCCCATTGTGGGTGGTGCTGATGGCCCTGGGTTCTATAAGAAAGCAGGCTGAGCAAGCCAGGGGAAGCAAGACAGTGAGCAGCACCCCTCTATGGCCTTTGCATCAGCTCCTGCCTCCAGCCTCCTGGCCCGTTTGAGTTCCTGTCCTGATTTCCTTCAATGATGAACAGTGACATGGAAGTGTAAGGTGAATAAACCCTTTCATCCCCAACTTGCTTTTTGTTCATGATGTTTCGTCATAACAATAGTAATCCTAGCTAAGACACCCCCTCAAGGATGGGGGCCATGTCTCATTCATCCTGGTGTTCCTGGCACTCAGCACCCAGTCCACTCACCACCAGTGTTCGGATCTTGATCTTCTCGTTCTTTGTGGTCTTGTAGATCTGCTTGAGAAGTGACACGCCATTGGTGATGATGAAGGTAGCCCGGCTGAGCTTAGTGGAGGCGTGGATGAGCGCCTCCACTGCCACCAGCTGGTCTGCCTCACGCTCCGAGCCACACAGTGCCACCATCATCTCCATCACACCTTTCATGCCCAGCAGCTGATTGCCCAGGTCAAAGGGCCCCTGCAAGATCCCGGACACTGTCTGGATGGCATTCACATTCTTGTCCATGTCCTGGGGATCGAACTTGCCCCTAAAACAGAGAACAAGGGAGGTCAAGAGAATCAGCTCAAAGGGGTAGAAAGATTAGAACATGTGCCTCCTCCCCTGAGCTTGTGTCAGTGGCATTTATTAACCTTTGGGGCCTCAGTTTCCCCATTCTGTAAAAAGAAGGACAACCAAACCACAACATTGAGCAATTCACTGAACCTTTCTGAGCCTCAGCTTTTTGATCCATAAATAGAGTATAGTACTGTGATTTATTACTGACATCACGGCTGGTCACAGGGTATTCCCCCCGCCCCCCGGAAGCACACTCTAACATTGGAGATTGACCTGCAAAAAGCTGAATTATTGAGCAGAGGAGGAAGCAGTGCTGAGGGAGGCACTGGTCTGCAATGCAGTCACCCCAAAGTTCCTCCCTTGAAGAGTTTGGAGCTGGGCCACTCTAAAAACAGTCATTTCAAATTGTGGCGAGTGACAAGTCATTAGCTGCTGGTTACGTGGGGAAAGGTGAGACAGTCCCCTCCCTCAGCTGAGGCAATGACCAACCAGAGACCACAGCTCAGTGCTATCAACCAACAGGTCCAGCCTTCTCAACCTGGAAGGACAGTACACAGCCGCAACCACAGACAGACCCAGTGTGACACCTGTCAAGCTGCCCCTGGCAAGTGAGGATGCAGAATTCAATTTGGGATCTCATGAGATGAAACGGTGCAGGAAGCACCCAAAAGTAGGAGTGGAATAATCAGATATTAGGAAGGTGGCTAGCAAAGATCATAGTCAATTTGTGTTTTCACTGCAAAGCCAAACAAGGACATAAATGAGAACCAGGGTGCACACAGAGCCCAAGAGTTAAAAACACAGCATCATCAGATGCCATCCTACACACACAGGTGTGAGCAGAGTGGCTTCTTGACACCCACCTTGTCCTGGTAGTTCCAGCTAATCCACAAGCTGCCTTCCACTTAGCTCAGAGACATGGACCAATCAGGACGGAACACACTACAGGGGTGAATTCCCCATGAACCTGGAGGACCTTCATGGGGAACTTTGGACTGCAACTCGTCCTATACTCACCAGCCCTTTCCTTTGTTTAGGGCACCACTTGGAGCTTTATCTCCCATTTAGCTGGACATTGCATCTCAATAAAAAAGTTTTGCCTGTAGCGCTCTAGATCCAGACTTCTTTTTTAAGGATTATGGAACCAAGATTCAAGCTCCAAGGATGAGGGAGGAGCACTCATGGGGTGAGCAGGACACGCTGAAGCTCCAGCAGGTAGGCAAGTACCACACGGAGCTTTCAGAGCTAACTAAGGTCAGGGTGAGCTGGAGTACAGGACTGGAAGGGAGCTGGCATGCCTGAGAGCTCGGGATAGCTCTTCATTTGGCAGTTGAGAAAATAAATACATAGGTGAAAACAATGTATAAATTTGCCAGGCATGGTGGCTCATACCTTTCATTCCAGCACTCAGGAGAAGAGGCACTTGAACTCTTTGAATTAGAAACCAGCCTGATCGCGGGCAGTGGTGGCACATGCCTTTCATCCTAGCACTCGGGAGGCAGAGGCAGGTGGATCTCTGTGAGTTTGAGTTTGAGGCCAGCCTGGTCTACAAGAGCTAGTTCCAGGACAGCCTCCAAAGCCACAGAGAAACCCTGTCTCAAACCCCACCCCACCCCACCCCCAAAAAAAGAAAAGAAACCAGCCTGATCTACATAGAGAGTTCTAACCTAGTTGGAGCTACCTAGTTAAGACCTTTTCTAATGAACAAAAACAGATGTATGAGTTTGTCCTATAAGATTTAAACTCTCTTCCCTGGCCCCTCACAAAAACAGCATGCCATCCTAGGAGGAGAGAAAGAACACAGAGTAAAGGTGATGTCTTTGCCCACCTAAGACCCCTCCGGGGGAAGCTTCCTAAGCCACACCCTAGGTTTTGAGATATGGATAGTGACCCAGAAATCTGGACCATGTACAGATTGGAGAGTCACTGGAATTAACTGTCAAGCAGCTGCATCAAAGCAGTGGTGGACAGGGGGCAGGGGGAAGGTAAGGAGAGAGGCTCTTCAGCAGCTCATGGAGAGGTCCACATGGGGGAACGGCAGTTCTTCACCAACAGCTACCACCAGTGCACCACCACGTTAGTGCAGCCTCCTAGAGATACCTTCCAAGCCCAGTCAAGCCATGAAGCCATCGGATGGCTGTGCCCTGATAGGAGACCTTAAACTAGAATTACCCAGCTACACAGGTCCCAAATACCCAACCTACTGAGGGGTAATAAATTACTATTATTTCTGTAAGTTACTGAAGGTGGGGGTGACCGGCTACACAGCCACGGGTGGCAAATGCCTCAGGGCAACTCACGTAATGTACTCCTCGCAGATTTTGCGGAAGTGGTCGCGCTCTGGGTCACAGCGCAGGTCATCATAGAGCTTGTTGATGAGGATGGAGGCCAGCATTCGGGTGTTGTCAGTCAGAGGCAGGCAAGAAGGCAGATCTGGAACCTGCCCCACCACCTTCAGGATCTTCCTTAGACCTAAGGGGTGACAGCAGCAAGAGTGAGATTCCTGAGGGTCTCTGTCCCCCTCAGAAATGTCTCATTGCTGTCTCCCCACCAGCTATGGCTTCAGACGGTACACGGCCTCTCCAGAGTTCAGGGCACTGGAGAGGGGACAAGCGGCCATACATGACTCTGCACAGTGGAGCAATCCCCCTGTTGCATGGCAGTTATTTCCACCATACTTAAACTCAACACTAGTTGATCTCAGGGAGGCTGCACCACCACGTTAGTGCAGCCTCCTAGAGATACCTTCCAAGCCCAGTCAAGCCATGAAGCCATCGGATGGCTGTGCCCTGATAGGAGACCTTAAACTAGAATTACCCAGCTACACGGGTCCCAAATACCCAACCTACTGAGGGGTAATAAATTACTATTATTTCTGTAAGTTACTGAAGGTGGGGGTGACCGGCTACACAGCCACGGCTACACTAGACCAGCACTGCCATTTCTGGATTGTGTATGTATGACTCCATATTATCTTTTCCCTAGGCCTCAGTTTCTTCATTTATGAAGGTGAAAAAGCAAAACCAGTTTTATAGACTTGAGGACTGAATCAGATAATATACAGAAGTGGCCTACCACCCATCCAGGGGCATAATCGCTCCTCAAATGTCTATCTTTTTTTTTAGTAGCTATTAGCATTATCTCTTCTTCCTTATTGAAGAACCTCCTCCAGACTAAATTCAAGATTCACATATTTGTTGAATAAGTAGATTAATAAGCAAGCCCCTTATCTCTCCTACCTTCAACACAGTGTGGGAAATGGGCCTGTAAACCGGGCAGGAAGGCTCTATGGGTACTAAATGCTAATGATGGAAATAAGGCAACTGGCTTCAACAGCTATAAATTCAGTGACTGGGGGTGCTTCCCTAGCCTATGAAAGGCCCTGATTTGACCCCCACGTCCCCAGAAGGCGAGTGGCAGACTGTTCTGAGCATTCCCTTAGTGCCAAGGGGCTTGTGCGTGTTCCCTGAGCTGAGCCTAACAACTACCCTACTTCTTAGCAATCAGTTCCATCTTTCAGATAAGGATACTGCTCGTGTTCTTGTAGCCAGCCAAGTGACACACAGAAAGGACACCTTCCCTGTGATGTCCGGTGTCAAGCCCACTTAACCCTGTCCTTTAGGTGGCTCTACACAATGTTTTGGGGGCACTAAACCCCTTCCCAGGTATGTTCCTGCCCTTAATTCAGAGCCTTGACCTACCTGCTTCAACAGCCCCTGGAAGACAGACTAACACCTGCCACCACCTTCACTTGGGACTAAAGACACTCTCCATACAACATCCTCCCTCTTCTCTCTAAACAGAGACAAGTATCCTGAGCCTACCCTAACTGTGTGACTGAACGTCAAGCGCCATTGCCCATCTCACCGTTATCCACGACATAGATGGTGCGTGAGTTGTCGTGAATGGACAGATCTTTCCTGGGGACGTTCTTATTGAGTAGGTTCAGTGCCTGGTCTCTGCCCTGCCCAGATACCTTCTTACTGACCAGCATGTCCAGCAGGTGGCTGGTGATCTGCTTCAGGTCCTTCTTGGTGTCTGAAGAACAAAAGAAAATAGCAAGTAGAGACAGTAGAAAATTTCACATAGAAAGGATCAAGACTGGCAGAAACTTCTAGAAGGATTCTGGAAGGGCTGAACCCATTGTTTTCTGAGTGTTACAGCTTCAATATGAAACATCCTCTGGACAGGCTTCTATGTGGAATGCTTGTCAGTTGATGGTGCTATTTGGAGGGGTCTGGAATGGGGCAAGGAGGCAGTCCAATTGAGGGAAAGAAGTCTCTTGGGGCAGATTCTTGACAGCTGTTTCTTGTCCGGGGTGGTGTTTCCCATCTCTCTCCATCATTCCTTCTTTTTCTCCTCCTCCTTCCCCTCTTCTTTTTCTCTTCCCTTCCCCCTCCTCTTTCTGTCCCTCTCTCCACCATGAGGAGGCCTCCTCCTCCTCCTAAGACTGCTGCCACAGCATGATGCCTGATGCCTTTCCAAGTGCATGACACTAAGCAACCACCCCATAAACCCTCTGAGTGGGTGAGCAAAAGATCTTCCTTAAGTCATCATCAGTACAGTGCGCATGTACTGTACAAAGCAGTATTGTTCATCTCACACTCCTCCCCCACAAAAGCAAAGAAATCCCCAAGCAACACTTCCAAGGGTCACTCTGGCCCTGAAACACTGCCTCCTCCAACATACCCTTTGTCTTCAAATAGCTCCTGTTCTTGGAAAGCCCCTTACTGTCAGGAAATGATTGGCAGAGATCCAAGGACACTTCATATGGTTTTAATTAACTTTTTTTTGTTTTGTTTTGTTTTGTTTTTCAGGACAGGGTTTCTCAATGTAGCCCTGGCTGTCCTGGAGCTTTTTCTGTAGACCAAGCTGGGCTTGAATTGAGAGATTCACCTGCCTCTGCCTCATGAGTGCTGGGATTAAAGGTGTGTGTCACCACCACCCAGCTAATAAACTTATTCTTTTTTTAAATACCTTCCATGGGAAAAAAATATTTTCCATGGGGCTGGAGTTAAGAGCACTGGCTACTCTTTTTTGTTTTGTTTTGTTTTTGTTTTTGTTTGAGAGAGGGTTTCCCTGTGTAATAGCTGTAGCTGTCCTGGAACTCAGGGTTCAGTAAGAGAGGGCTTGGTTATTCTACACGAGACCCCAGGTTCAATTCCTGGCACTGCACCACCCCTGCAACAGTGTCCCAACAGGAGCGACAGCCTGGACTTGCTGGACTTTGTGTACACTTGCCTTGTCCCTTTTCCCTGGTCAAAGCTAAAGACACCTACTGGCTGCTGTGATGGGAAACACCAGGCCATGAAAGAGTGAAGAGTCCACATCACCTATTGTCTCTCTTTCCCTCACTATTTTTACCACATACTCGGCCACCCTCAACACCCCTGGCATGGAGAAGCAAATTTCTACTCTTTGGCTCCTGAATGAAGCCTTCCTTTCTCCTCAGCACTCTGAGGAATAGAGCGTCAAGCTTCCAGACCTGAGTTTGTGAATAAGAGTAGGAACTACTATTCCTCTCAGAAAGGAACCAGAAAGGTCTTGTGGCACACACCTTTAATCCCAGCACTGGAGAGACAGAGGCAGGAGGTGGATCTATTCAAGGCCAGCCTGATCTATGTAGTGAGTTCCAGGACACACAGAGAAACCTAGTTTTGAGAAACCCTGTTTTGAAAAACAAACAAACAAAAATTATTGAAATAGCTTTTAAGAACCTTAAATGGGCTGGGCTTGGAGGGCCACACAGAGAAACCCTGTTTTGAAAAACAAAAATTATTGAAATTAGTTTTAAGAACCCAGGTCCTCTAGAAGAGCAGTCAGTGCTCTTAACTGCTTAGCCGTCTCTCCAGCCCCCCAGAATTCCAATTTTTATTTATGTAAATATACTGATGTGGATAAGAAAAGACAGGAGGGATCCAGTGGATTATTTGAATGAGTCAGGGTTTTGTTTGGGAGAATATTTTTCCTCCTCATAGATTCCTGTATCTTTCCAAGTCTCCCCAGTGAGCTTCCATTACACTATGATGAAATATGCATAGCATAAAATTTACCATTTTAACGTGTAAAATTGAGTGTCACTGAACATAGTCACACATTGCCACCACCCACCACAGTATCTTCCAGATAGATAAACTGACAACTCCACACTCAGTAACTTATGCCACTTTCACCCTTATAACCACACCACACATACTAAAATCACACCAGGCCACCTCTGCACACAGGAGATGACAATGTGAGGTGGTGATTGGCTCTGTCTTGGAGTCCACATGAACCAGAACAGAAGAATATCTCCTACCTAGAACCAAGGCCTCCTCTTTCCCTCGATGTTCTCGCTTGTCCTCCCCAGACAGGGAATCAATGATGGCCTGGAGCAGGTTGCAGACAGCCAGGGACATCTCTTCATTCTCCGTGGCCATGAGGCTGCAGATTCTGTCTGTGCGGACTGTGTGCAGGATCGCTGTAGCCTAGATCCCAGCAAGAACAGAGTCAGTACCTGCCTCCTGCCTCCTGCCTCCTGCCTCCTGCCTCCTGCCTCCTGCCTCCTGCCTCCTGCCTCCTGCCTCCTGCTTGGCATCCATGTTAGGAGACGGGTGGTGACTGTCCTATCCACTTCATGCTTTAAGAAAGTGGGGCTCACAGACTGGGAAACCTCCTTCAGGGGACTCTGAGCTATGTCCTGGGGGCATTGAGTCTGTGTGTATAGTACAATGCTTTTGAATGCAGCTCTTCCTGTAATCCACTTTCAACAATACCTTTGCTTAGTCAAGCCCACTTCCAGCTTGCAGGGAAAGGGCCCGGAGCACTCTTGCACTATGATTCATAAGACCCAGGCTAGAAGGCAGGGAACTCTTTAGGCTTTATCTCAAGTTCTATTTATTCCAGCCACAGCCCTGACTGTGCCACTCTCTGCCTTGTTGGACCCACTGCCATTCACAATTCCTGTCCCAATCCCCAGGCCCTCACCCTAGCTTGGTGTCCACTACACATGCCAGACAAGGTCCTCACTGCAGCTAGCACCAGCTCAGGCCTCTTAGTGTCCATCAGCTGCAGCAGCAGGCCCACCCCATTGCTCTGGAAGATCCTCTCGGCCCCTGCTTCTTCACGGCCCAGGACAATGAGGTTATTGGCAGCCTGAGGGAGAAGCAATGAAGGTTGTCAGGAAGCTGGATAGAGGCCTTGACCATGAACCTAGTGCAGGGGCCAGAACACTGACTGCATCTTCAGAACATTGGTATATTCTGTCCTCTTACAGTCCTACTCCTGGAAACAGCCTAGAGAAAATAATAATAATAATAATAATAATAATAATAATAATAATAATGCAATTTGCATAAGGACTAACTTGATGAAATATGCCACAAAAAAACAAAAAAGAAAGAAAGAAAGAAACAAAGAAAGATCCCACAACCAGCGAATGAGGTCACAGATACAACAAAGCCACATGAAACAACGCTGACAGGTGGAATTGGGGTCATAGACTCACTCGGTGTGCGGTGGTGTTAAAAAACAAATGTATGGCTGCAATGGAAGGAGAAGGGCTAGGAAAAGAGGGAAATATGAATGTTTTTTACATGTTCAAATCATTTTCTTTTAACATGGTTGTCATATGTTTTGTTTTCCTGTTATCTGCTCAAGGGAATCTTAAGCTGTGGGTTCTCGGGAAGGTGGAAGATAGTGCAATAAACAGGACTCAAAAGCCGGGGGTGAGAGTTCAGGTTCTGCTACTGGCTAGCTCCAGTCAGCGCCTCACTGAGCCCCAGTGAGTCTCTTCTCACTCTGATGTCTTCCCATTCGATATATGTGAACCTTCAAAGGCCCCGATGCAAGGGAGCAGAACAGCAAGAAAATCCACAGCTGAGAAAAGAGCAGGAGAGCGAGGTGGACAGAGAGACAGGGAGCCTATGGGTAGGCAGAGAGAGAGACTGGGAGCTGGTGGGTAAGCAGACAGAGAGACAGGGAGCTGGTGGGTAGGCAAACAGAGAGACTGGGAGCTGGTGGGTAGACAGACAGAGAGACAGGGAGCTGGAGGGTAAGCAGACAGAGAGACAGGGAGCCTATGGGTAGGCAGACAGAGAGACTGGGAACCAGTGAGTAGGCAGACAGAGAGACTAGGAGCTGGTGGGTAGGCAGACAGAGAGATGAGGAGCTGGTGGGTAGGTGACCCAAATGTCAGGTAAAGGTGACCTGAACACTGCTATCACCTTAGGGCTTAGCACTTCTCCAGACAAAGCTGCTTATCCCTGACAACTCCTTAGGCCCTCAGAGAAGTTGTATAGTACGTTTTTGTATCATACAAATTCACTGACCACAAAACTAATCCGACACCCTTCCTCACAGGTGTCATTTGCAGAGTGCGTACATAAATAAGGGCAAAACATTCAAATGTTCACTCAAGGACCCTAAAGGAACATGAGAAAGATTTGGTTAAGAGAGAGCTGTTGCTGTTGGTGGCGCACACCTTTAATCCCAGCACTTGGGAGGCATAGGCAGCCAGATCTCTGTGAGTTCGAGGCCAGCCTTGTCTCCAGAGCGAGTGCCAGGATAGGCTCCAAAGCTACACAGAGAAATGCTGTCCTTTTGTTTGTTTGTTTTGTTTTGTTTTGTTTTTTGAGACAGGACTCTGTGTAGCCCCAGCTGTCCTGGAACTCACCATGTAGACCAGACTGGCCTTGAACTCACAGAGATCCACCTGCTTCTGCCTCCTGAGTGCTGGGATTTAAGGCGTACGTCACTACCACCCAGCTTAAAAACCTTTTTTTTAAAAAAAAAAAAAAAAAAAAAAAAAAAGGTGACAGTTACCAGTAACTACTTTAATATTTTTAATATCTCAGTGTGACCTCTTCGCAGTGTTTCTAAATGACACAAAACATTATTTAAATGTGTCAGTGTTTCTTTGAACCAAAACTATATTGAGGCCAGTCAGATATTCCCTGTAGATGCAAAATTTAAGAAGGCAACAAAAAGCCCAATATCCAGATAAGCAATGTTTTTTTTAATCAAAATCAAAGGCCAAAATCAAAGGAGGGGGTAGGTGTGGGGTGTCGGGGTAGGGGAGAGAGGGAGAAGGGATTGACATGTGAAATTATAATTTTGTAAAAATTAAATTAAAAAACAGAAAAAATGTTTTTAATAAAAATCAAAGGTCAACAATTTCACATTGAACAAAATATCTGATATTAAACAAAGATGTCATCCTACAGTTTGACTCGTCTCAATGGCTTCACCCAAATCTTGGTCCTTCCTACGGTTAGTGCCATTTTCTAATGGAATTTCTTCATATTCGTAGACACAGCTTAACTTCCCAGGCCCAGGAAGCCCTTATCGGGAGCTGCGGGTAGAGCGCGCCCTCTGCTGACAAGCATGAGGCATTACTCACCTTCTCCCGCTTATCAGCCTCGCTGTTTTCGTTGAGAAGGATTTCAAACATCGTCTGTACCCTGGAATCTGTGGAAAACTGCGCACGGAGCTGAGGAGAGAGGGAGAAGCCCTGAGGGAGACAGGAAGCTGGCCCGCATCATTTCTGTCTACTCTTCATGTATTCAACTCAGAAAATATTAGATCTACTCTGGACCCCGGCACATCCATTCATTTAGTCACTGAGCACAAATGGTAACTAGGGCCAGTGAAATGTCTCAGATCTGGGAAAGGCGTTTGTTTGCACAGCAAGCGGGAGACCTGAGATGATCCTCAAGACCCTCATAAAGGTGGGGGAAACCGGGCAGTGGTGGTGCACGCCTTAAATTCTAGCACTTGGGAGACAGAGGCAAGTGGATCTCTGTGAGTTCGAGGCCAGCCTGGTCTACAGAGCAAGTGCCAGGGCAGGCTCCAAAGCTACACAGAGAAACCCTGCCTCGAAAAACCAAAACATATAAATAAATAAAATAAGGGTGGGTGGAGAGAGCCAACCTCTATCTTCTCTGACATCCACAACCCCTCATCATCATCATCATGCTAATGCTAATTTTAGTGTTAACTGAACAACCACTTTATGCCAGACACTGTTCTGGAAGTCAGGGATAGAAAGATGAACAAGCAGCTGGAATGGTGGTAGACTCCTTTAATTGCAGCACTCGGGAGGCAGAGGCAGGCAGATATCTATGAGATCGATGCCAGCCCTACATAGTGAGTCCCAGGACAGTCAGAGCTACATAGAGAGACCCAGTGTCAAAAGAAGAAGGAGGAAAAGGAAGGAAGGAAGGAAAGAAAGAAAGAAAAAAGAAAGGAAGGAAGGAAGGAAGAAAGATGAACAAAATCAATTCTGTGACCCACAAAGCTCTCAGTCCAATTAGTTACAATCATTATCAAGTATAATCACCACAACATCTTTGGAAGACATCAGCCCAGTTTTATAATCTATCTCATAGACAATCAACCACCAGATGTTTAAATGGAGACTAAAGTAGAAATTTGTCTCCAGGCTTTCAAGCATCCTGCCAAGCAAGTGGGAACTGTTCTGCCTTGGGGTCTAGACCCTCACAGTCCCACCCTATGCCACTCTGGATCTTTCATAATGTGGCCTAAATGATCATCCGGCCAGCTCCTTCTGTGCCTCTTAGAGCTGAGAGCCACTGCTCCTCACTCCTGCCGGCTTGGGCAGGCTCCTCCTTCACCCACACTTTGTCTCATCTCCCCCTCTTTAACATTTTCTCAGCACTGAGTCTGCACTCTGGACAGTGTGCCGTGGTCCAGTCACAGGCTGCTCCAGACGCACAGGAGTTACTGAGTGTCTGGAGCACGTGGCTGAATGAATTATTGCCCCCCTGCTCTTCCAGGAGGACGCCGAAAGGTCTGAGGGTTCAATCAGAAAGAAGTCAGTAACTGAGCCAGGGGAGGATACAGGGCTCCTCTTCTCTTGCTCAAGCTTTCCATGCCTTGTCCACATTCCCAGCAAAGATCTCATGTTCCCATGGACTCTGACCCTCTATCCCTCATTAGTCTCCCTGTTTCCCAAGGATTCCAGAACCTCATTGTCCCCCTACAGTCACGATGTAGACTCACTAGGTAACCATACTTCCCTTTTAAAGTTTCCATCTGAAATTTAAAAGAACTGTAGCCATGAGTAGATTGTGCTCTCACCCAGCACCACAGCTCTCTCCATCTCTCACGGGTAGGTGTGCTTGCCCCGATACTCCATGGACACTGCCCATGCTCCATGCTGTCCCCAGCTAGCAGTTGAAGGGGCATGGCTGACTCTGTCATCACATTTCAATCTCCCTAGCCCATCTCCCCCTATGAATAGGACGGAAGCAGCCAAAGTTCTCTGGAAGGGCCCAGTTTACCTGCTCCTGGATGCTGGTATTGAGCCTCCGCAGTGTCTCCTGGAAGTTCTGGTTCCTTGGCTCCAGGGTAGCACAGCGTTGAACATCCTTGAATGCCTGGTCCAGTTTTCCCAGATGCTCCAGTGCCTGGCATCGCCGATACAAGGCTTTGATGTCAGTAGAGTTGATGTCAATGGCTACAGATGAGAGACAGGCAGATCCTCAGGGGGCTGGGCTACAGACTGATGTCCCTATTCCACTGCTCAGGAGGAATGTCTTCCTTAGAGATACCTATTTGAACTATCTGGCTCACACAACTCCCAGCACACACCCCAACTTCTATCTGATTCCCAAGGCTTCCTCTGCCACAGGATTCCTGTCAGGGGCCCATCTGACTGGTGCCTGTATATCTCCTGAAGTAGGGTGCCCCCCCCATCCTTTCTGAGGTAGCCAGGCAACTCCACCAAAAAACCTTTCCCTCTTCCTACCCAAACTCCTCCCTGTTCTTTTGTTCTTTTATCCTAAGTCTGGCCCTGGAGCCCACCGGTGAAACTAAACCCTCTCTCCCACCTGGTAGCTATCTTCCCTGGGTTAAATATTACCAGATGTTTCATTCCCTTCTCCATCTGGTCCTTGACCTTCAGAGCCCACAGACTGTTATAGCACCTCCAAACAATGGCAGCCAGACCCACACTCCTGCGCAGCCATGCTGGGTGAGAGGAAAGTATGGAACTCACCTCTGGAAGCATCCGAAGCTGCCTGGGCATAGCTCTCCTGAGGAACAGGAATGAGAGACTCCATTAGTGGGGGCCCAGGGCAGAGACAATCAGTGTCCCCTAAGTGAGGGAAGAAGTTAGCCTGGGAGCTACAGGTTATCAGAGGCCCAGGACACACTCGGTACCTGGCACAGAAAAGCACATGATTTGGCATCAGGCAACCCTAGGTTTGAATGCCGGCTCCTCTGACACCTGGGAGAGTGTGGCCAAGTTAGTCATGCTCTCTGAACCTTGGGTTTCTTGACTGCAATATGGGAATGGTAACAAGGACTGTCACAGGGCTGCTCTTAAAAGGAGTGGCCTGACAGTAGCCTGGGAAGTCAGAGGCACAGTTTCCAACTTAGGGGGTCAAGATGGCATAGGTAGGATGATGGCTCCTTTCTATCAGGCCATGACGACCTCGCCTCCAGCCTTAACTGCCCTCAGTACACCCATGCTGTCCTGTCCCCAGACCATTTTCAAGCCACAGGCTGCCCGATTCCGGTAGAGTGTGGCCAGCAGGGCCTTGTCCTTGGTCAGCTTCAGGGCCTGGCTGTAGCTCTTGGTGGCCGCCTTGTAGTCTTGACGCTGAAAATGCTGGTTCCCTTCCTCCTTCAGCTGCACCGCTTCTGCCTCTGCCATCTGTGGGAATACCGACAGCCCTATGTTGTCAGCCTCTTGCTGGATACCCCGGGGCAGGGCTCTTGGCCTGAGAGCCAGAGGCCCAGGTTTCTCTCTCCACAGTGTAGGTTGGAGATTCTGCCTGGAAGGGATCCACTCCAGCACCCCCAAATCCACTGACCCCCCCCAAAGAACATTGGTATTTGCTTGGAGCTTGACCCCCATTGAGAGGGTTATCACAGTCTATCTCTTTCAACCAGGTAGGTGTCTGTCACCCACCTTCTCTGAGGCCTTCTCCTTGTCCAGTCTCCCAGCCAACTCACCGTTTCCCAGGGGTGTCTCCTCCGAGGTACTACTCCTGAGCTCTGCTGTCCACCTCAGCCAGTGTCTGTCTGCTGCTCCCAGCCCCCACCCTGCAGACTTTATCACCCCAGCCAGTGACTCCAGACTATATTTGGCCACAGGGGCAGGTGCTCCTGGAGGCTGTCATTGATACAGGGCCCTCCCCCTGCCTGGACTGGACATCCATGACCACATGGAAGGGTTGACTACCCTCTGGCCCTTAAGGACCCTGCTCAGGGGCAGTCCTGCAAGACTGGACTCACACTTCAAAGTGTGGGAGAAAGATCCAGAAGAGACAGGAATTGGGAGACCTGCCCTGACTAGGCAAATTTATAATGCCCCTTCCCCACCTCCATCTCAGATAAACGGCACCTCCCCCACCCCCCTCCGCCGCCCCAATACACAAACTACTGCTATTTTAGGAGCAGAGTGACAGCTGAAGGGCTGATAGACTTGGACACACAGCAGCTGCCCAGGTCCCTCTAGAGACTTCCAGAAAACCCTCTGTGGAGGGAGGAGGAGAGCAGAGTGGAGGAAGATCCCTTCTCTTCATACTTGTTCACAGCGCCTGCATTTGCTCAAAAGAGCCTACTTTTGGAAACTTGCTGACTGGGTGTGTGAGTGGACTGCTGTTTGAGGTCGATTGTCTCCTCTGTGTCTGCGTTGATGAGAATACTCAATCCCCCATCTGGCTGTGACTCCACTGGATGTGGGATCTCTTCCTCTCTATCAGATGGCATTCTCCTGGGGCAAGGATTGGGTCAAACCTGGAATTCCCTGAGCTCAAGGACTGTCACCCATCTTCCTATCCAGCTCTCTCCCAGGACAAGAGGAGGCTCCCTCTTCAAAAGTAGCAACATCATAGCAGAGGGCAATCTCTGGAAGCCAGCATTGCTTGCTTCTCCAAAGCCAACTTTAAAAGGATATCTTCACAGTAGAACTCTCCTGTCCTTTGATGTTGACTCCTGGAAGTCAAGGATGTTGCCCAGGAATTTCTATCACCATTCCAGGTATGAAGCCTGGCAAACAGTGCCCTGGGTGTGTTTTCTTTCTTTCTTCTTTTTTAAATGTTTTTATTTATTTATTTATTTATTTTGAGACAGGTTTCTCTGGAGCCTTGGAGCCTGTCCTGGAACTTGATTTGTAGACCAGGCTGGCCTCGAACTCAAAGAGATCGCTTGTCTCTGCCTCTCCAGTGTTGGGATTAAAGGTGTGTGCCACCACCGCCAAGCCTGGGTGTGTTTTCTAAATGAATGAATGAACAAATGGATGGATGGATGGATGGACAGTTGGATGGTATTTTCATTCTTTTTTTTTTTTTTTTTGGTTTTTCGAGACAGGGTTTCTCTGTGTAGCTTTGGAGCCTATCCTGGCACTCACTCTGGAGACCAGGCTGGCCTGCAACTCACAGAGATCAGCCTGCTTCTGCCTCCCGAGTGGTTGGGATTAAAGGCGTGCGCCACCAAAGCCCAGCTGGGTATCTTCATTCTTATGCTTTGCTCCACTTACATCTCTTCTCCCCTCACCTCTCATATTTTTCAAAACACACCTGAAGCCAGGCGGTGGTGACACACACCTTTAATCCCAGTACTAGTACTCAAGAGGCAGAAGTAGCTCAATGCCAGCCTGGTCTACAGAGTGAGTTCCAGGACAGCCAGCGATACACAGATTAACCCTGTCTTGAACTCCCCCCCCAAAAAAAAAAACCACACCTGAAAGATAGTGAAGAAAAGCCACAAATGGGGGCATACACAATAGCTTCTGCAAGTAGGGCTGTGGTTTTTTTTGTTGTTGTTGTTTTTTGTTTTTTTTTTAAGATTTATTTATTTATTATGTATACAACATTCTGCTTCCATGTATGTCTGCACACCAGAAGAGGGCACCAGATCTCATAATGGATGGTTGTGAGCCACCATATGGTTGCTGGGAATTGAACTCAGGACCTCTGGAAGAGCAGTCGGTGATCTTAACCTCTGAGCCATCTATCCAGCCCAGGGCTGTGGTTTTAAAATGTCGATATACAGCTACGTGACCTTGGATGTCCCAAGCCCTAACATCTGAGCTTGTTTATTTGTTTCTCTCACCTTGTTTTCCCAGCCGATTTCAGACTGGCTTCAAACACCTAGACTTAAGCAACTCACCACCTGAAAATCTGGAACCAGAGCTGTGTGTCACCATGTCTATCTTAATACACATTTTTTTGAACGGTAAATGTGTAGGTGCGTGGGTAGGTGGATTCCATGCTCTCAAGCGATCCCAAGCCCAGATCCTCATTTGTGACCCAAACAATGAGGTAATGTGACAAAGGATCTCACTGCTAGAAAAGCTTTGGCTCTGTAGCTTTTGGACCAAGGGATCCTTCATTCAATTCCTGATTAATTCACTCCATAAGCATTTCTTCTGTGTCTCCTATACACCAGGACACATGACCGATACTGAGGAGTGCCAGAATGCTTGGAAACCACAAAGCAAGAAAGACCATGTGCTAGGCAAGACTTCCTTAAGTAAAGGATAATTGAGTGAACCTATGCCAAGTTCCTAGAACACTGTCAGGCAGAGAATAGATGCTCAATTCATTTTGTTAGATGAATGAATGTACGCATGAATGAGTATATTTAAGGCAAGACATGAACACTGTGAATTGGTTCCCACCTGGGTCTGTGGAGGCTGTCACAACAGAATACCCAGGTGGAGATGTACTTTCTCACAGCTTTGGAGTTGTGAGTACAAGGTCAAGGTGCTAGCAAGATGGGCTTCTGGTGAGGCTGCTCTCCCCTGCTTACAGACAGCCATCTTCTGGGTTTACATGGCTTTCAGTCAAGGTGGAGGTAAACAGAAGGAGAACGGAGAGACTGGGTGTGCACTTTGGAGGCTTTTCCTCCAGTGACTCCATCTGCTAGGGGCTCAACCTTTCTGGCCTCCTTCAACTTTTATTACTTTCTTAGGAGCTCTGTATTCTTTCGACTTCTGCATGAGAGGAGTGGAGACTCAATTCTGTCCATAACAGCTCCAGACAGAATACACTGCCTATGCAAAAAGACAGATACAGGAGGGGGCCACACCTTGAAAGCGCTCAGAAAAAAATGCCAAGACAGCTGGGCACGGTGGCCCATCCTGTAATCCCAGCATCCTAGGAGGCACAGACAAGGGGATCGATCACAGAGCCCAAAGTCGATTTACACTACACACCCAAAGCCTATCTCAAAAGCAAATAAATTAATAAATAAGTGAAATAAGAAACACAAACCAACCAATAAACAAGGTTTCTGCCTCAACCCAATAGTTTTCCTGGTTTGGATTTCCACTCCAAGAGAAAAGGGGCTGCTGCCTGGACCCAAGCGCTCTGTGAGCTAGGCGGGCAAATCAATGAACTTCTTTGCGTTTTAGCTTCCGTGGTCTACTAAAGTTGGCAAGAGTCGCTATAATGAAGAGTGTGAAAGACCTCTGCCTGGGAAGGATGGAGAAGAAGGCGCAGAGGGAGGCCTCCTGGTGACTCCACTTGCACTCCAGCCTGACTCTCTCCTCCGAACACCAGAGGGCACTGTGACCTGCGGCTGCTCCGCGACGCTCCATCCCTCCGCCTCACTCCTCCTCCACGTGGGGACGCAGGATGGCGGACGCTGTGGCGGTGGGTGTACGCGCACAGGGCGGGGACGCCGGGTCTCCGCTTGGGGGTCCCCGGAGCGGAGGGGGAACTGATCGCCTCCCGGCTTGTTTGTGCAGGACGAAGCGGCGGCGGGCGACGTGCAGCGACTGCTCGTGCAGTTCCAGGATGAGGGTGGCCAGGTGCTGGGTTCCCCATTCGACGTGCCTGTGGACATCACGCCGGACAAGCTGCAGCTCGTGTGCAACGCACTGCTGGCCCAGGTGAGCACTCCGAGACGAAGCCGCGGTGTTTCGCACACACACACACACACACACACACACACACACACACACCGCTTACCGACAGTTGGTGGCATGGGTCGGTCCCTGGAAAAAGGTTCTCCATCGGATGTCACACACACACACACACACACACACACACACACACACACACACCGCTTACCGACAGTTGGTGGCATGGGTCGGTCCCTGGAAAAAGGTTCTCCACGCCGGCCCACATGCAGACAGGCTATGTTTTGAATTCATCGGATGTAGTATTTCCGTGACTCCTTGTCTTAACCCAACTTAAGTATCCCCCACCCCTTATACAGAGATGCCCAAGCCTGATTAAATTATTCGCCTGGTGGTGTGCAGTAGTTGTTGAATTGAGCATTGGAGCCCAGATCGGTCTGACCAGGTTCAAAACTTGTGCACTTAACCTTTCTGCCCGTGTTACTGATGTTGCCCGCTGTTGGGGGAGGAGTGGCAGGCTTACAGGTGCAGCTGGTGGACCCCTATCCTCTTACTCTACCAGACCTTGGTCTGCATTTTTTAACCATTCCCTTGAATATTCGTTTTACAGGTGCAGCATGGGCTGGTGATTTCCAAAACAGTATATGATACTGTGTATCAACTCTCATCCTAGACCTTAAAATTAAGAAGAACCTGAATTAGTCAGGGTTAGGGCTTTGAGCTAATTGCTTATTTGCACTAAGCATTTTTTTCAGTCCACCAAATGGGGATATTAATGTTTATTTCCATATGTTTTGAGATGCAGATAAAGGATTCCAAAATTCTGTGAGTGGCCTAAGATT